GAGCTAGAGAAAAAGACAGGTTTAATATATTTAGTTTTCCATAACGATGTCAAAAAGGCAAAGCTTGCAAGAACCTCACCTTTGATAGTTTTAGTTTTGGTTTGTCTCTGGACCGTAACAACCACTTTTATATAGAAAGTCGTTTAATGATCTAAAACTTTTTTGGTTTTCATTGGTTTCCCAATATAGCGTAGTAATTTAATAGCTATTATTAAACCAGAAAAATTTATAACAATATATTTTGAATAGATCATGTCTTACGTTTGAGATAATTAATCCTATCCAAGTTATTATGTGTTTAATAAATATTATAAACTATGTATAATGGTCAAGTGAATAATTTCGAAGAAGGTGCGTATAATTGATTTGTTCTTTTCTGGTAATTTCTTGTCGGGTGAGTTTCAAATCTCAATCCTACTCTAAAAACTTCTTGTTCTTTTAGCTTTAATCGACTCGACTCTGTTTTGTCTCTATCAAAACGCATGATTTTAGTTAGCTTTACTCTGTTTAATTGGTTTCACTTCAAAATATTTTTGGAAACTTTATATAATTAATTAGAATAGGATACGCGTTAATACGCGGGTAAACATATTAAAAAATATTAATATCAAAATTTAAGTTTTAATTAGTAGTAATCCGTTTATTTACAAAAGTATTTTGAAATATTTAAACATGAATCTCAAACCATTAAAGTTTAATATATATCTTAATTCTCATGTCCTAATTCATATTATGCACGCCGAAAAACATATATACATAAATGGAATTCAAATCGTATTTTTAATAATAAAAACAAATATTCTTACTCATTATGAATTTATATTAACTATATAATAAATTCTTATAGCAATTAAAATATTATAGAGTTAAATTATAAAAAAAATAAATTTATAAAAACTATTAAAATATTTTATAACATTTTAATCAATATTATATATAAATCTATGATTGATAAATGTCATTGATGTCATCAGTTTATTTTTCATAGAGATCTATACTTGTCAAATCTTACACTTTTGGATCTTAAAATTAAATAAACTATTATACTTTTGGCTCATTTTATAGGTAAAATATACATATTTTATATATAATTTCTTTTTTTGACATTGAAAAGTATAGGTAAAAGATTATATTTTTTTGTAATATTCTACAAATATGTTTACAAAGTAAATATGTTTATAGATTTTTTTTCTTTGGTATGTTTGTGCATATAAATTTTAAATTGGGGTTTCCATATTCTTTTTAAGTTTTTGTTTTTTAGTTTATAAAAATCTTTTGTTTTATCACTTATATTTGTGGGACAATTGC